CCTGTACTTCTCTTTCTTTATACTGTCTTTATTTGGTTTTGGAATTAGGATAATACTGTCTCATAGAAAGAGCTTGAAAGTTAATTTTTTGGAATTATTTGAGGAAGATAGGTGTTATTTCTTCTTTGAATGTTTGGTAAAACTCCCGTGTGAAGCCCAGTCTGGATTAGAGCTTTTGTTTGCTAGAAGGTATTTTTTATTGTTACTGGTTCAATTTCATCAGTAGTTATCACACTATTCAGGTTTTCTGATTATTCCTGATTGATTTTTGGAATATTGTCTTTTTAAGAATATGTCTATTTCATCCAGGTTACCTAGTCATTCATAGTATTTTTTTAATGACCCTTTGTATTTCTGTGGTATGAATTGTTTCTTTGCCTCCTTCATTTCTGATTTTGAGTCCTCTCTTTTTGTTTCCTGCTGTGTCTGGCTAGAAATTAATCAATCTTGTTTATTCTTCCAAAATAACTAGCTATAAACTGCGTTGGTGGTATAGTGGTGAGCATAGCTGCCTTCCAAAATAACTAGCTCTAGGTTTTATTGATCTTTTGTTTGGGTTTCTATTTGTTTGTTTGTTTTGTTTTGTTTTGTCTCAATGTCATTTATTTCTGCTCTGATTTTTATTATTTTCTTCCTTCTACTTATTCTGAGTTTTTCTTGTTAATCTCTTTCCAATTATTTAAGTTGTTGAGTTAGATAACTTATTAGAAGCTTTTCTTATTTTTTGAGGTATGCCAGTAATACTATATGAACTTCCCTCTCAGGACTGCTTTTGCTGAGTCTCATAGATTTGGAATTGTTGTATGTTCATTTTCATTTGTTTCCAGGATTTTTTTAAATTTCTTTTTTGATCTCTTTGGTAATCTATTCATTGTTTAACAGGATACTATTTAGCCTCCATGTGCTTAAATGTCTTTTAGTGTTTTCATTGTAGCTGAATTTTAATTTATGACATTGTGATCTGAGGAGATGCTTGGCATGATTTTAATCTTCTTGAATTTGTAGAAATTTAGCTTGTGTCCAAACATGTGATCTATCATTGAAAATGCCCATTTGCACTTAAGAATAGTGTATATTCCATAGTTTTGGTGAAATGTTCTGAAAAGTCAATTAATTCCATCTAAACTAGTGTGTAATTTAGGGTTGTTATTTCTTTATTGTTTTTTTTTTTAATTTTTTTTTTTATTTTATACAGAGAGGAAGGGAGAGAGATAGAGAGTTAGAAACATCGATGAGAGAGAGTCATCAATCAGCTGCCTCTTGCACACCCCCTGCTGGGGATATGCCTGCAACCAAGGTACATGCCCTTGACCGGAATGGAACCCGGGACCCCTCGGTCCCCAAGCCGACACTCTATCCATTGAGCCAAACCGGTCCTGGCCTTTATTGGTTTTTTTGCTAGAAGATCTATAAAGTGATTGGAGTATTAAAGTCCCCTACTATGATTGTATTGTTGTTGATCTCTCCTTTTAAGTCCTCCTTTTAAGTTTTATTGTATATTTAGGTTCTCCTATATTGGGTGCATACATGTTTATCAGAGTTATATCTTCTTGTTGTATATATCCCTTTAGTATTATGAAGTGGTCTTCCTTATCTCTTGTTATGGCCTTCACTTTGAAGTCTATTTTGTCCAATATGACTATTGCTACCCAGCTTTTTATTTTTTCCATTGGCTTGGAAATTTTTTTTCATCCCTTCATTTTCAGTCGGTGTGAGTCCTTTATTCTGAGGTAGGTCTCTTACAGTTAGTATATATATCTTGTTTTCTTCTCCATTCAGCTACCCTATGTCTTTTTATTGGAGCATTTAATCTATTTACATTTAATGTTATTATTGATAAGCATTTGTTTTTTTGTCATTTTTATTCTTTATGTCTGTGTTCCTTTTTCCCTTTCTAGTTCTTCTTTTTGCAACAGTCCCTTTAGCATTTCTTGCATTGCTGGTTTGGCAATAATAAACTCCATTAGCCTTTTTTATCTATGAAACTCCTAATTTCAACTTAAAGTTTGAATGATAGCCTTGCTGGATAGAGTGATCTTGGATTCAGTCCCTTACTTTTCATTACTTTGTATACTTCATGATACTCCCTAAAATTTTCTATTGAGAAATAAGCTCATAGTCTAATGCGTGTTCCCTTATAGTTAACTTTCTGTCTCTCTCTTGAAATCTTTAAGATTCTTTCTTCATCTTTAATGTTGCCATTTTAATTTTGATGGGTCTTGGTTGAGTCTTTTGAGGTTCATCTTTATTGGCACTCTCTGTGCTCCCTGGATTGTGTGATTTTTTTTCTTCCCCAAATCAGGGACGTTTTCTATCATTATTTCTACAAACAGGTTTTCTATTGCTTGCTCAGCCTTTTCTCCTTCTGGCACCCCTATTATGTAGATTTTGTTGTTGTTGTTGTTTCATATTGTCCTAAAGCTCCTTTAAACTGTCCTCCTGCTTTTTAAAATTTTTTTATTTGGTGCGCTGAATGGGTATTTTTTCTATCTTGTCTGCTAATTCACTGATTTAGTCTTCAGCTTTCTCTAGTCTTTTGTTGAATCCTACCATGGTGTTCTTTATTTCAGCTATGTTGTTACTGAATCCAATTGATTCTTATTTATTCTTTCAATCTTTCTTTTCATGTTGGAATAGTCCTTAATATTCCCATTAATTTCTTTATTATTCATATTAATTTTCTTGTACTAAGTTACTTGAGCATCCTTATTACCATTACTCTGAAGTATTTATCTAAAAAATTGCTTGTCTCCATTTCATTTAGTTCCTCTTCTGGTGATCCCTCCTTTTCTTTCATTTGGGAGTTGTTTCTTTGCCTTCCAATTTTGTATTTGTTCCTATTAGATCAAATGTTATGCCTCCTTGAATTTTGGGAGTGGGCTTATGTAGCAGGTGTTTTGTGAGACCCAGTGGTGTGGTCTCTTAGATCTCCTGAGCAGGGTGTTCTAGGATAGCCACTAACTTGAGTTATTTGGGTTATCCTGTTGCAGCTTGGTCTTAAATATTATTGTCCCATTCACGGATGGAGTCTGATGGATGGAGGCTTGCTGACTATGTGGCTCACCCACAACCACATCATACAAGCTGTTGTGGAGGTGCTGACCAAAAAGAAGAAAATCCCCCCCCCAAAAAAAAAAATGGATGTTCAGGAAATCCTGAACTAAGTAAATAGACCTGGTCCTTTGGAGGTTTTACATATAAGATACTATGAGTTTTCCATTCCTCTATAGCAGTATGTGTTTGTGCCACAGATTTCGCTCTCTGGAACTTTCTAAATCCCACTCCAAATTCTCTAGAAAGTTCTAACGGGCTTACCCACAAGTACTGTTGTTAGAGGTACCACTCTAAGACACGAGAGTGGTGTTACTGGACAGCCCCCTGAGTCAATAGAAGAGGGCTATTACCAATCTTGATCCTTTCCTCCTCATATGAATGAATTTATGCAAGAGACTTTGACTGCATTCTGAAAAGCCAATTTGTTAAAGCCTGCATCTTTATTGAAAAAGCAAACCTATAAATTTGGTTTATGAAGCATAGAAGAACACTCAAATTATCTGAAGAGCAAGTTGGGTGGGGGTGTGAGGTATTATATACCCAAACTGTTGACTAAATTCCTCTGCCTGGCAACTTTATCTTACCAACCCTTGAGAATGCTGGCTTCTCTGCTTACAGAGTAAAACTGCCCTTTCATCCATTTTCCCGTCCCCCTCCCTTTCTGCATTCTCTCATTAGGGAGGTTTGTTTTTTTTTAATTATTTGCTCTTGTATTCTTGGCAGGGAAAGTTAATGTTTTGTTGGTTACAAGCTGGATGTAAATTGCCCACACTCTTTGGCCTTGTTTTAACTTAACTGTCTCAGTTTCCTCCTTCCCTGGAATCCTATAATACTGTGGAGAGTTCCTGCAGTTACACAAACACCTTTGTATTGAGAACCAGCCGATAGTCCAAGTCATTTGGCCAGAAACAAGGAATTGAGCCTGCCTCATCATTTGCTTCTTCTCCTGTGGTGCCAACTGGAGAGAACACAATCACCTGTGGTGACCAGGTGGACAAGGTGAAGAGGGGGAAATATAAATGGAAGGAGAAGCACAGATAAGACTCAGAAAAAGTATCATGGAGGCTGAATAGTCATAGGCCTGAGAGCACAAGGCAGCAGGGAAAGGCCGATTTCTGCTCTGGAGGCCATATGATTAAGGGGTTTTATTGTCCTGAGGCTGGAGAGGCAGACTGAGGACAGGCTGCACTGTGCTCAGGGACTTGGTGAGCACAGAATGTTCTATTGTATTACATACTGACTGATTGGGTGAAGCCACTTTCCTTGGAGAAGCCTCAGCTATGAGGGCAGGATGTCAGGAACTGGGTGGGGGGATGTCCCAATCTCTCCAGGACACTGAACATATTTAGACACATTGAGACAGGACAATGTGTTGACTTCCCAGAGCAGAATCAGAGGCTGCAGAACCTGGGACATAGGTTTTTTATCCAATTTCCAAAACAAAAATTCCAATTCTCTTCTCTTCTCCCAAGTCAACCACCTTAAGTGTTTCCCTTGTCTCTGCCAAATTTTCCAGTTTTCATGGTTTTCCAAAGTCTCCCCTGGCTGCTGAATCTCCTAAAATGAATTAGTATTTATAGCTTTGATCATTAACAGAGAATTAACTAGAAAATTTAATATCTAAAATTTTCTCACTGACAGAGTGTTACAATCTCCCCTCTACCCTTTGCATTTGACATCCCTGAAAAGGCAAAACCAAGGTCATCAAACCCTCTCATAGTATCAGTCCAAACCCAGCCCAGGCCCTCCCAAAGTTCTTCCCTCTATTCTGAAATTCAGGAGAAACGGGAACCACAATTTTGTCACTGTTGTATTACTAAGTATTTGGATTTTGCTAGACACAATGTAGGTTGTCATATCTACTTAAGGAATGAATGAATGAATGAACAAACGAACGAACGAACGAACAAACAAACAAATTGTGTTTGGGACTTTTTCAGGTACACATGGGAGGACGAAAAATGGCAAGAGATGAAGAAAGTGCCCATGGTAAGAATACATGCACTGCATAGTTGCCCCCAAGTGTGAGTTCAACTGATAGACAAGCCCAAAATAAGAGCAACTGAACAGACAACCCCAAAAGGCTCTCTGAGGTGTCTGAAGTGAAGAAGCAAGGGCCCTGAGATAGGCATTTTATTTTATTTTTTTAAATGTATTTTATTGATTTTTTACAGAGAGGAAGGGAGAGAGATAGAGAGTTAGAAACATTGATGAGAGTCATCGATCAGCTGCCTCTTGCACATCCCCTACTGGGGATATGGCCGCAACCAAGGTACATGCCCTTGACTGGAATCGAACCCTGGACCCTTCAATCCCCAAGCCAACGCTCTATCCATTGAGCCAAACCAGTTTCAGCTGAGATAGGCATTTTAGCTTGGTCTTTGACCCTGCCCATCTTGGAGATATGAACTTGACTAGACTACACCTCCATTCCCCAACTATAAGATGAGGTTAATAAACCTACTCTTATCTCCATGGAAAAGGATGTAGAAGGTATCAGATCATGCAATAGATGGAGTGTGTCTTACCAGGTAGAATGTTAGAGAACCAGGATGGAAGAATAAACAGGTGTTTCATTAGCAGGTAGCAGGTTTAAGAGGGAGGGAGAAAAGAGGAGGGAGTGAAGGAAGAAAGAAGGAGGTGATCTTATCCAATTGCCTCAACACCCCAGAAGAAACTCGGTACTACTATTTCCATTTTTGAACAAAGGTTTAAAACTTAAAGTACCTTCCAAGGTGGCACAGGCGGCCGATGGCTGGACTGTGATTCAAACCGAGTGTCTGGAACTCCACATAGCCCTTCAACCCCAGGCTGCTGCCCCTTCCTGACTATCTTCCCTGGGCTGGAATCTGGGAGAAGTATGGCAGAGGCCACTGAAGCCTCAAATAGGGACAGCTCTGCAGGGTGTGGACCACCAGGGGTAATGGAGATGAGGTCATGTCTGGAATGATGAAGGGGATCCCCTAGAGAAAGGCCCCCCAGGTGTTGAGCATCTACCGGTGAACATGGTGTGGCCAGGGTAGCAAGGATACTTGGTGAAGATCCTCCTGAGTTCAGTAAGGTTTTAGTTGGAAAAGCAGAGCTGAGGCCCTGTTCTTCTTCCAAGGGCACCAGGGTCCAGGCAACCAGGATATGTTGCTTTAAGGTGTGGAAGCTCACAGATCACTTATCCTCTAGATTCTGGAGACACCACACAGGCCCTGCAGAAGCTCGGGCTGAGGCTCATCCTGGTGGGGAAGACAGGAGCTGGGAAGAGCGCCACCGGGAACAGCATCCTGGGCCACAGGCGCTTCGTCTCCAGACTCGCAGCCACCTCGGTGACCAGAACCTGCGAGGTGGGGAGCCGCAGGTGGGATAGATGGCATGTAGAAGTCATGGATACCCCGGACCTTTTTAGCTCCCTGGTCTCTAAGACAGACGCAGGGTTCCAGGAACGAGCCCGCTGCTACTTGCTGTCAACTCCTGGGCCCCACGTGCTGCTCCTGGTGACTCAGCTGGGCCGCTTCACTGCACAAGACCAGCAGGCTGTGAGCGCGCTCAAGGACCTGTTTGGGGACAACGTGGTGAAGCACACCATCGTACTGTTCACGCGCAAGGAGGACCTGGCGGGAGGCTCGCTGCAGGAGTATGTGCGCGACACGGACAACCGTGCACTGCGGGCTCTGGTGGCTGAGTGCGGGGGCCGTGTGTGCGCCTTCAACAACAAGGCGATGGGTGGGGAACTGGAGGCCCAGGTGCAGGAGCTGCTGCTGCTGGTAGAACGCCTGGTGCTTGAACACACCGGTGTCCCCTACTCCAATGACGTGTACCGGCTGGTGCAGGAGCTGGCCTTCTCCAGCCCTGAGGAGCAGCTGAGATTGGTGGCAGAGAGGCTGGCAGACCGCGTGTTGGCACGACAAAAGCGAGGGCTGCTGGGCCGACTGTGTAGGTGGGTGATGGCTGGGAAGCTGCGCACAGCCACACTACTGGGCATCCTGTTCCTGCTTTGGGTATTGCTCTCCAGACACTGGTCCTAGGCTGTGGACGAGGTCCATCCTGAATGACAGAGTTTATTTAAGTAGGAATTGGAACCATTCTCCCCTGGAGTCTGTGCCTCTGGGGCCCACAGGTTTTCCTTGTGTCCCTCACTGGCAGTAACTTACCAATCCAAAGACAAAAATCCTGCCCACTCCCATCCACCTCCCAAACCTGCCCATGGGACCTGGCCCTCCCCAAGCTCTTCTTACTGAAGCCCAACAAGTATTGCTCTTGCCTATTTTCCACTGACCTCAGGCTGCTGTCCCAGATCCTGGTATCATCCCTGGTTCCCCCAGGAGACCAAGAAGCAGAGCCAACACAAAGCCTCCATCCAGACCCACTTATTTCAATTGAATTGCATGAATAAAGCTTTGGTTGTGCATTAACAGAAATCAGTCTTTGTAGTTGTTTGTTTATCTGCTTTATATGATCATTGAACAGATACTGCTCTGTCATTCTTAACCCCTTCTGCAAAAACCACCCACTCAAATGCACACACATTGGGGTGACAAGAAGACAAAACACTGAACTGTCCATCTGTCCCAGGAAGGCACACCTCCCAGTCCTTCTCCATTCAGACCCCTTCACAGTGTGAAAGGAGAGTCTTCTACAAGTCCAAGAAAACATTAACCAGAGACTTGAGTCACTAGAAGCCACAGAGGCACTGTGGAAAGTGTATTTCCAAAGAGGAGTTTTCTCACAGGCTGATACACTCATGGGGTGAGAGTAAGTTTTTCAACTCAGGGATAAATAAATAAAAATAAGGGACTTGGAAATTTTTATTTCAATCTCAATAGGAAGGGCAAACAGGTCTTTGCAGATTGAATATTGGGGTACAAGGTGGGAAAAAGAGTCCCATGAAGACCTGGGAGAGTCCACTCTGACCCAGGTAATATGAGCCAGGTTAGCATGGCTCATGTGTCCATCTACACATTCTCTGTCCCAGCATCTCCACCTTCATATACAAACTCAATACTGCTGGGTAATTCCAGATCTCTTCCCTACAGTATCCTCCATCCGGTGCCTTCTCAGACAGAGATTCCCAGATCCTTTATGCCTTCCCATCACTAACAAGACATGTAACAGGGGAAAAATAAACACAATATCTGAGAATAAGATAATTGGAATAAGAGGCCACAAGCCTTGCCCAGAAGCCACTGAGAACACGAAGAGGAATGCCAGCACCAAATGATGAGACATGGTGTTCCATCGGCTGCTAAGGGCATTGTAGTCCAAGGGTTCTGCACAGATCCCAGCAGAGGCACTGATAGGGAATCTTGACTTTGGTTTGGTCCACTTGTCGATATATTTTTGCAAGAAAACTCTTGCTGATGAAGGAGATGGTCACTGATGAAAAAAAAAAGAGAAAAAAAGAATAGCAAATTGTCTAGTGTGAGCAATGAAACTGTGCATCTTGATTATTGCTTTTTTGATTTGGTAGGAATGGAGCTCAAAGAATCCCCAGGGGACTCTGCTTAAAGTGATTGGGAAGGTAGGAAGGAGGACCCAGGGATTCCAAGGAACAGGCACACCTCACTATGGCTGCCATCCAGACCATAAGGGGTGTCCAGGCCAGCAGAGGAGGGCTGTTGGGGGTGACTAGGCCAACAAGGGAGGGCAGTTAGGGGTGACCAGGGTGACAGGCAGAAGTGGTCAGAGGCAATCAGGAAAGCAGGCAGGCAAGCAGTTGGAAGCCAGCAGTCCTGGATTGTGAGAGGGTTGTCCGACTGCCCTCAAGGAGTACCAGATTGGAAAGGATGCAGGCTGGGCTGAGAGACACATGCACCACTGAACAAATGTCATGCTCCAAGCCTCTAGTGTGTTAATAACAGGTGAAAGGTTCTGCTTTATAGTGGCTTTTCCCTGCAGAAATTTTCACACAGTATTTCTAATGGACTTCTTCACTTACCCAGCAGTTGTTAATGAAGTGCCTAGTGAGGAACCCATATTGGAACGACCTTTAAAACTCCAAAACTCTGAACAATAAACAAGTTCCTGATCTCAAGCCACACCAGAAGGCACCCCAGAATGTGAAACCGAAAGGGCAAAGTCTAAGGCAAAGGAGATGAGGCCAAAAGCTGCAAAACAGGAAGCACAGCACAAAACCACTTTTCTCAGCCAACATCCTGGGACTGTGAGATAAAGAAAAAAAAATCAAGAATGAAAAAGAAACAGGAAGCAGACAACTGAAATAACAGGCAGCAGAAGGTAAACAGCTAGAAAAACCAGTTGGAGAAAATTCAAAAGGAAACAGCCCTTTCCCCTTAGAAAGGAGATTTGAATGCAGTCTTTTAAATAGCCAAAGAAAACAAATGGATACCAGAAATAAGCACAAATATGTCTTCTTTTAACTCTGATTGGGGTAACATGAATGCTTTTTGGTCCACATTTGATATTTGTCTACAATGTATCCAATATTCCAATATGTGAGAAATTTTTTTAAAATGTTAAATTGACTTTTCCTGCCTTTCAATATAAAGTGGGGAGATGGAAGAATAAGGTGCTTTGATTTATTGTTTTTTAAACCAAAGCTGGACAGTCTAACAAAACATGACATTTTATTCACTAAGGGACAGGGTCTCATATACACAAATAATAGCATCTTAAAAATTAGAGGGGGAAAAGACAGTTGTTAGTGAAGAGCCCAGGAAGGAACCCATATTGGAATGACCTTTAGTGCAAAGAGAAGAGGCATCAAAATGAGAGAGGAAGTCTGTGTGCTGATTCTTGTATTCTGCAACATCTCCAGTAAGGTTTCTGAAACTAAAAAAGAAAAAAATGGGCGAGTATTAATAGTTCTGCATAAATACCAGTGTTTGTTTTTTTTCAGAAACAGTAAAAATGGTGCCTTTGGGGCTTTCAGAGTCACAGGCTGGAGTAGAAACAGTGCCCACTGTCACAGGATTGAGGAGACAGGAGAGGCTGAGGGACAGGAAGGGAACCCTTAGAAACAGAGGGGAGGACCGTGAAGTCTTCCAGGCTGTGTAATGATAGTTTGCACCAATTTCACCAAGTCGCCAAGGAGTGAGGGACACTCAACTGACAAATACGACAGATTATATACATTGAGGGCCTTGGACATATCAGATATTGGAATGCAATTCAATAAGTGAACTACAGTATAAATCCCAGATAGCTATACTTACTTACATATGGTACATACTTCTCACATATGTACTTATATTCATAAATTGCCACATTTAATTTGTTACTATTTTGGTAAGGATTTTTATTACTATATTCATAAAGGATATTGGTCCATAGTGTTTTTTGTTTTCTTGTAATATCTTTGAAGGATCCTGACCTCATGGAATGAATGGGAAAGTACTTCCTCTTCACCTGGTTTTTTAAAGTATTGCTGTTAATTCCTTAAACGTTTAATGATTTCACCAGTGAAGCCATCTGGTAGTGGACTATTCTTTGGTTGTAGGTTTTTATTTTAATTTAACCTCTTTCCTTTTATAAGTAAATTCAGATTTTATTTTGGCTCAAGTCACTTTGAGTAGTTAGTATCCTTCAAAAATCTAATATACAGTATAAAAAGGCAAAAGTAGAAACGAAAATTTGGTTCTATTCCACAGTGAGCTGACAACCTCCAGCTGCCACACTGTCAGGTGCCACCTTAGCTTTTGAGCAAAAGCCATCCCCTTCCCAGGCCAAGCTCAGCAGAGCTCCCAATGAAATTAAGCTAGAACTCCATAATGAAAGGGTAACAGCAATGTCTTCTGCACTGCCCTATTCGTAGCATCATGACTTCCTAAATGGTCATCAGAATCTGGGGAAAGGCATTTAAGATGGCAAGAAGGTAGGGAGAGAAAGTGTGTGAGAGAGGAAGGGAGCAATAGAGGAGTGTGTGGGCGTGTGTGGCTGTGTGTGTGAGTGAAATAGGAATCGTTAGATCCTGCAGGTCTTCCAAGGGGCTGCCTTTCTGGGCAGTCTTAGATGGCAAAAACCCCGCTGCCACCGCAAACACTCCCGGGAGGACACCGGCTGCACAGAGACCATGCCATCTTGAAGAACAGACCTATTGGGAATAGGTTCCTAGCCTTACCACCACCCAATCTGGTCTCAGTGGCAAAACAAGACACTACAGCAACTTGGGTAAAAAAAACCTAAGACTACAGCTGCAGACCCAGGGACACCAAGACTCCAGGCAACCCGGCTGCAGATTTCTGTGAGTCACAAATCCAATCCTCCTCACCTTGGGCCCCATGGCAGTGGCATAGGATCTGCCAGAACCTAGCCACACAGTCAGGCTTTCTGCCCACACACAGCAGCGGCAGCCCTACCTGAATTTGAGCCTTGCTGTGTGGACCCTGGAAGTTTTTTGTTTCCTGTGACCAGGCTCTGCGCCCAGGCAGGGAGGCTGTACTGAATTTGAGCCTAGGTGCACAACCTTGGGGAGATTGTTTTCTGTGTCCAGATCCTGCGCCCACACAGGGAGACAGCGCTGAAGTTGAGCTTGGGGGTGAAAACATGGGGAGTTTGTTTCCCATGACCAGACCCTGCATCCAACCAGGAAGGCTGCACTGAATTTGAACCTGAAAGTGCAAATTCAGGGAGTTTGTTTCCAGCAAATAGACTATAAGGCAAGGCACGGAGATTGTGCTAAAATTGAGCCTAGGTGCGCTATCTTGGGGAGGGTTTTGTTTTTGTTTTTGTTTTTCTTTTTCTTTCTCCAACCAGATTCCATGCCCACAGAGAGAGACAGCGCTGAAGTTGAGCCTGGGGTGCAAACCCGGGGAGTTTGTTTCCCATGACCAGACTCAGTGCCCAACCGGGGTGGGGGGGGATGCTGAATTCAAGCCTGGGTACATGACACAGGGAGTCTGTATCCCGCAGTGCACACCTGGGCCGTGTGTGCGCCTTCAACAACAAGGCGATGGGTGGGGAACTGGAGGCCCAGGTGCAGGAGCTGCTGCTGCTGATAGAACGCCTGGTGCTTGAACACACCGGTGTCCCCTACTCCAATGACGTGTACCGGCTGGTGCAGGAGCTG